CCCCTGGATTCAGCAATGAGGAGCAGCCCCTCGAACCTGTGGGGACCCACAACCAGCAGCCACATCTCGCAGGACACCAGCATGTCCACTCCAAGGAGAAGTCCCCCGGATGCGATGACAACAGGCAGCCCCCCGGACCCATGGAGACCCACAGCCAGAAGCCAAACCTCACAAGCCACCAGAAGACCTGTGCCGAGGAGAAGCCCCCCGGGGGTAGTGATGCCGGGCAGCCCCTCGGGCCCTCGGGGCCCCACGAAGCACCCAGAGCCCACCCCACCCAGTCGCCCGGCCCCAAGACGTACTGCGTCCGGTACCTGGGGAGGGACCCCCGCACCTTCTGGGAGGGAGGCTGGCACTGCTGCGACTGTGGCAAAGGCTTTCAGCGGAAGTCCCACCTCTGCCAGCACTATCGCACCCACGCTCAACAGAGGCCCTTCCAGTGCCAGCTGTGCGGGCGCTGCTTCAGCTGGCCCTCCTACCTCACGCAGCACTACCAGCTCCATTCTCAGAAGACAGCCCTGCTGCCTCCCTGCCTCCGGGGCTCACGCTTTCCCCACAAGGGAGTGAGCCTGGAGTGCCTACGCTCCCACTGCCTTCCGGCCACTTCTAGCAGCTCTGACCTGCCCCACAGGCCTTCCGGACCTCCGCCTTGACAGACGTGCTGCCTCATCTTTCCCTGGGGGAGCCCCTGGGAGGCGCAAGGACCTATCTTTTGCTCACCAGCCAGGTGCTTCACAGCTGTGCCACTGAACAACGGACACCAGAAGCCAAGCCCACTGCCCTGCTGCTGCTTCCCACTCAGCACGCACAGGTTTCCCAGGCCGGGAATGGTTATGCCAGCAGACTGCCGCAGCACCCTTACAGGACGAGCTGGTGGGTTTGGATTGAATCGCCAGTCATTTGGCTAATGACCGAGCACTCAAGCACTGCGCCACCAAGGCAGCTTCCATCAAGACTCACACCTGCCATCGGAGAGATCCACCCTGCGATGTTGCCAGAAAGCTGCCAACGGTGGCAAGAGTGCAGACATCCTCTGCCAAGAGTAGACTTGGCACCGTCTCCGGGCTCACCACCCCCCGTCCCCAGGCCTTACAAGGAGTATTTGTGCAGAACCAGAACCAGAAGAAGCTAGTAGACTCCGCTCCTTTGTCAAGAAGAAACCTGACTGACAGCTCAGAGGGAAGACTCACCACCAACCAGCAGTTGGCTTGACTATCACCCAGCTCGCCGCAACCGGGTCTGCAGGCAACGTGTTCACCACACGCACTTGCACCCTCAGAGGGGCGACGAGGTTCTTGAGGTGCACGTAGATAGAGTCACAGTGGTTCCTGGTCGGGTTTGCCGAGCTGTGCCTAGCACAGGTGTGTATTCGGCTTCCCAGAGAAGAAGACTTGGACCGCTAAATGGCGGGACGGTCCACCCACAGTGAGTGATGGAGCAGGGACCAGGACCCAGGTTTTACATGTTTCTATCAGCTTCTCTGAAGGACAGGTGGGGGCCCTGTTCTGCCAGCAGCCACCTCCCTCGTTAGTACTCCTGGCTTCGTTCCCTGTGAAACCAGACAGGGAGACTTACAATGTCAAGGTGTCGTGCAACTGTTACTGAGTGCTTGTCCCCGCACGTGACAGGATAGCATTGCCCCATTTCTCAGCTGAATTTCTCGTTGTAACTTAGGGGAGCCATTCACTAGACATTCCTACACAGAGCCCATGGGTGGGTTTGAACCAATAACCTCCCAGTGAGCTGCCAAGCACTTAAACTGTTACTCCACTGGGGTTCTGCCGGAGGAGGTGATGGGAAGTGTTGGCTGCACCCATCTAAGACTGTATCACCAGAGGGGGCTAAGGGTGTGCAGGCATGTGGGATGACTTTTAACTGAACAGTTATACATCTCCTCCGCAGTGGTGCCAGAGCAACTGTTAGGATATACAGCTCTCCACGGGGCTCTTCTCTGGCCACTCCTCCACACTGAGGAGAGACCCAGTCTTCTGACCCCCACAAGACCAGTCTACCTCACTGCACCCACGCTGGGTCCTCTTGGCCTGGAAAACCAGTTGACCTGGCCGGAGAGTCATCTTCTCTCCTGAGCTCCCAGGCCCTCCCTCTGGCCCTCTGAGTCCACTCACCATGCTGAGAGATTTGTTGACATTTCTCTGCCCCCCAGTCTGAAGCGGGTTCCCCACTCTCAGTGTCCGTGAGCGTTTAGCAGCGGGGGAGGTGCGCCTGTGGCCTCCTCCACTCCGGATATTACTATTCACCGAGGGCAGCTTCTCCCCTGGCTGGCGGATTTCATAGCTCCTTCCTGAGGGAATGGCTGGGTGCAGGCTGAGCTCCAGGAAGCACCCCAACCTCGGGTTCTGGTGAGCCCCTGCTGCTCAGTTCAGAGGTCAGCACCGAATGTCTGGATAGGCATACCTTCTTCAGATGGTGCCTCCATTTTTGCGCTTCACCGATACTGCGTGGTGTTTTGGATTTTTACAAATGGAAGATTTGAGGCATCCCTGCATCGAGCAAGTCTTTCAACGTCATTTCCCAAAGGTGTGTGCCCACGTATGCCTCTGTGTCACTCAAGGACCCTGACAGTATTGGGGACATTTTTGTAGTGTTATCGCACCCTTCATGGGCTGCAGTAGGATGCAAACATCACTCTTCTGTGTGCTGGGAAATCAAACAATGCGCGCGCCTCCCTTGGTCGCAATAGTGGCCTTATTTGTGGCAATCGGGGACCAAACCCAAATACCTGTGAAGTATGATAAACTTTGTGTACAGTATGAGCTTTCCCTGAATTAGCTCTGGACTCTTTTTGCGTATATATATATAATATTTATATATAAATGTAAAAATTTTATATTTGTAAGTATATAGATAGATACAGGAGAGCTACCTATTTTCCCTTTTTTTAAGTATTTCTGCAGGACTATTACTGTTTGTCAGTTTAAAGTAGTGCTTTCTCATGAAAGACCATATCTAATTTATAAAAGAGAAGATGTTCCCCTTCCCTCTGCCCCCCCAGACAAAGAAAAAGATGCATTTTGGGTTGTTTTCTTAGGATTTACAGATCTCACCAGATGTGTAGGAGCGGTTGCCTCTGGCGAGCATCCTCCGGGTGGCTGGAGGAGGGAGTCTCCACAGGCGGCCTAGCTCCGCTCACCTCGGCTCCTATTGGACATAGCCGACAAGCGGACCGTGGAGACACTCTGGGTCCAGACGCCCACAATCAAGCGAGTCACATGCCTTTTTTGGTTTCCTGGCACGTAGAAGCGTCCTGTTGACACTGTCCCGCAGTCTGTGTAGCACAGGCTTGGGGGAAAGGCGCAGAGCGACTTGCTCAGTAGGCTTGAAGCATGGCCACACACCTGTGCTCTGTAAAACGCGCAGTATCTGGGAAGCGCAAGAAAGCAGAGCTCACGCAAAGGCAGTGTGAAGGAGTTTCAAGACGTTTACAGTTTTCTAGATCTCTCATCAGGAGCCCTGATGGCAGATTACGTACTCGTTGGACCGATCTGAAAAGTCGGCCATCTGAAGCCACTGACCACCCCAAGGGAGAAAGATGAGACTCCCCCAGAAGCAGTTCTCCCCTGTCCTTTAGGGTTCGGGTCACCGTGGCTTGGGTCAACTTGGTGGTAGTCTGTTTATAGCAGTGACCATTCGGCGAGTACATAGCATGACCTGTTGGAGCCACCCAACCTCACACCGTATACAAACCCAGTCTTTTCCATTTATATCAAGTCACAATTATGGAATCTCATGGATGTGCCTTTTAAAAGTGTGGATGTGTGTTTTCATAGATGTAGGGGGCGGGGAGTCTGTCATTCTATTATTCTTCCTGATGACAATGTAGGCTCATCAATTTAAAAAAACAACACAGCCCTTTGGGATTTTGACGATTACTGTATTGAGCTAGTAACTGAATTGGGGAGAATTCACGTTGTGGCATTTAATCGTACTGTCCTTGCATTTATTCAGGCTTTGTGAATCAGCCAATAAAGTTTTCTTGTTTGCTTTACACAAGCTCTTGAGTTTCCTGGTTTTGTTATTTATTCCATCTTGTTGGATTGTGATTTTTTTTATTTTTCTTTATTTTTATTGTGATTCTCATAAAAATCCAGCATCCCAGGAATTGGGGTCATTTCAGCCTTGCCAAGAATTCTGAAAGTTCACAACCAGACTGGCCACATTTGATGCCTTCACTGAAGCCCCACGATGCCCAGGCGAACTCCACGCGGGTAAGCGAGGCATCGGAGAGCAACAGCTTGGCTCCATCTGTCTTTCCTCTGTGGCAGCAGGTGCATCTTTTCACAGATGGCCCTACCCCAGCGACGCTGAAGTTAGCGCATAACTGAGGTGACAGCTAAGCCCACACAAAGAAGCACATCCCCCTGTATGATCCAAGGGTTTTAAATATCAAGTTCCAAGATCAGAAGAGGGAAATGTATTAGAACTCCAATTCTGAGCACTCCATGTGCAGAAACCTATGAGTGACAGCGAATCCCAACCTCTGTTTGCAAAGACCTCCAAAAGGAGTAAGCTTCATTGAATACCCTCAGACTATTGGCCAGGCATGTGAAAAGTCTTGTCCACAGAGAGTACATCAGAATGTGAATTACCGCAGGTAGAGCTAGGTTAAAATGTAGCATTGTATCATTTGTTTCCCCTCTAGCCCATTCTTAATTTGTTCTATTTTTTTTTAATTTCTGCTTTCTTGGATTGAAAAAAATAATAATCGGTGTCATTTGAACAAGTCGTTGAGAAATGAAAACCTAAACTTAAATGTAAATGTTCGCTGAAAACGCACACACGAATTAGGGACCATGGTGCCCTTGAAATGTTGATAAAAACTGGTAACGGTTCTGCCCAGACAAAATGCAGAGAAGCTGAGGGCTGTGGTTGGACAGATGCATGCACATCACACACACACACACACACACACACACACACACACTTATGGACACTACTTCTAGGGGAGGTCAGCTGGGGCCCTACTCTGGGTCCCAGCCTGAATCCTCCTCTCCTTGCAGTTCCGCTGGGAGCTCTGGGTTGAGGCTGGTGCCTCTGAGAGTCAGCTTGCCTCCAGGTGGGACCCTGAAGGAGGGAAAGACGGAATCCATAGCCTTGGTAATGGGGCTGTTCAACCATTCAGGTAATAAAACAAATTTGAGTGAAGAGGAGAAAGCACCCCAGATGCAAAGAATCCCCTCAACAGGATGCAAATTCCACTGCCCAAGGGGCCAGTGGGCAAGCTGAGGGTGAAAGAGAAGAGGGCTCCCCACTTCAAAGGACCTGCCAGGAGGCCCCTGGTGGCAAGACCAGTCTGCTCTGTTGCTGAACAAAAGGATGGAGATGTCATAATGCCAACCCACCAATGGGTCCCAAAGTGAGTGGCAGTGCCTCTCGGGGCTGATGGAACCATCCTGGAGCCTCTGCAAAAGCAGATACCTATACTTTTTCCTGAATGATGGGCTATAGTACAAATGCTTTTTAATTCCTAGGTGTAGGGATAGGGAGAGGCACAGTAATTGTTCATTGTTTCTGAAAAGGTGCAGTAGACGCAAATAAGTTTAGGAATCTATGAACTAGCCTGACACGCCACTAAAAAAAAAGATTCCATCAAAGAGCCCTGGTGGCCTAGTGGGTTATCCCTTGGGCTTCTAACTACAAGGTGAGCAGTTCAAAACCACCAGCACCTCTGTGGAAGAAAGATGAGGCTTTGTACTTCTCATAGCGATTTACAGTCTTGGAAACCCACAGGGGCAGTTCTACCTTGTCCTATAGGGTCGCTATGAGTCAGAATTGACCATATGGCAGTGAGCACATGGGTGGAATCGTTGTATTACATGAGGTGAAGTCCAGATGGCATCTGAGAAAATGCTGTGTGCCTCCGCCCTTGTAGGGGAAGCAGCAAAAGGCAACTGTCATGGCCAAGAGATGTGCAGAGGAGGGAAGAAAATCAATGAGGGATTGTCAAACCACAAACACTCCTAACAATTCCTCATCTCCGGATACAACTTGACTAGTATTTCTAAAGCACAGGATGTAAATGTTCAGCTGTGGCTCTGTGGCATAATGGTTATGCACTGTGCTGCTAACTGCAACAGCTGGCAGTTCGAAACCACCAGCCACTCCTCCAGAGAAAGACGGAGCTCTCTGCTCCTGTAAAGAGTCAGTCTCAGAAATCCACAGGGGCAGGTTCGCTATGAGTTCGCATCTACTCGATGGCCGTGAGTCTACTCGATGGCCGTGAGTGGATGGGTGAGTGAGTGAGTGGATGGGTGGATGAGTGAGTGAGTGAGTGAGTGGATGAGTGAGTGTGTGAGTGAGTGGATGAGTGAGTGTGTGAGTGAGTGAGTGGATGGGTGGGTGAGTGAGTGGATGGGTG